AATTACATGAAAATTGTGCCTGCGAACACTATACCATTACTAGAAGTTTTCTGCATAAAGAATCTGATTTTGGCCTAACCACCAATTACTGTCCTCTCATAGGGAAAACAATATGTTTGGTGACATGTGGAAAATTCCCTCAGTAGTATTTAAAGTGAATGGTTTTCAAACCAAATAGCTGTTTATATACTGGAAGGTGGGAGTGCTCTCGGTGCAGGATAACTCGGCCTGTTTATGCATCTGCCCAGAGTGAAGCCAGGGCCTTTACAGTGGCTCCTCATGGCCACTATAGCCTGCCCTGCCCCACTGACCTCTGCGACTCTCCTACTTCCTTCCCCGCCACCCACACTGACTTACTGCGTTCGCAGAACACGCCAGGCACCTTCTCATGTTTTGTTTTGTTTTAATGCTCACCTGAGGGTATTCTTTCCCACTGCTTTTCAGAGAGAGTGGAAGGAGAGAGGGGGAGAGAGGGAGAGAGAGGGAGAGAGGGAGGGAGAGGGAGAGAGAGAGAAAGAGAAGAGGGAGAGAGACACGTCGACTGGTTGCCTCCAGCACTGGCCCTTGCCAGGGCCTGTAACTGAGGTACGTGCCCTTGGCCAGAATCAAACCCGGGACCCTCTAGTCCCAGGGCCCACGCCCTAACCACTGAGCCACGCCAGCCAGGGCCACCTTCTCACATTTAAGCCTTTGCACCAGCTGCTCCCCCAGCCTGGAATACTCTGCCCTGGGCATCCAAAGGGCCACTTCCCTCACCTCCGTCAAATCTCTGCTCAAACACCACTTTCTGAACAACGCCCATGCTGCCCACCTGACTTGAAGTTGTGACCGTCCCCACTCCTGACCCACCTCCCTTACTCCGCTTTTTGTATGACATTTATCGCCTTCTGACCTCCCACACAAGCTTCTCATGGGTGATGCTCACTGCCCACTTCTCATCTGGACTGAAAACCTCACGAGGGAGGAATTCTTTGTCCTTCTGTCGCGGCTTAGCCTACAACGCTTGGCTCGTTGGAGGTCGACGGTGCATATTTTTTGAATCAGTGAACATTTCTATCATCTGCTCGCTTACTGCTGAGTCAGGAACCCATTAATCCTGTGGTATGTTTCAAAAGTCAAACTTCCTCCTCAAAGAGAAACACTCATCTACAGGGGAAAAAAGTCTAGGGGAGAAAACCCTCCAAAACATCCAGTTCTCGTTTCAAGTCTCCAACAAGGTTGTTTTTCTAAGGAAGGAGTACAAATGGGTAAAACTGCAGTCGCACAGGCACAGGCACACGCACAGGCACACGCACAGGCACAGGCACGGGCACACGCACAGGCACGGGCACACGCACGGGCACAGGCACACGCACACGCACACGCACGGGCACACGCACGGGCACACGCAC